TAAGTTATTTGTTTGATGTACCCGACTTTAAATAAATATTACCTATCTTATCTTATCTTATCTAACAACAGTGTTCAGAAGTTTAATTCTTCTTTTTCTAGTTAACCAACTTCTTGAGCCGCCCGGATGTAATCGGCTTCTGTTTGGAATGACTGTCAACCTTGGTTCCATGGATGTCCTCCTTGCCATCTGCAGGCTTGCGTTTTGGGGGTTAATTTTCACATTTTGAATGTTTCCTCTCATTTCTTTAACTTTTTTGCCTTCATTTTCCAGCCTTTTTTGTTTATACATATCAATGTAAATTAAATAATTCATAAATTCTTAATTCTATTGCACGGAGAATAAATTTTCATTATCCAGTATTTAAAAAAAAACTGACTTCATGGGAGCTGAGTAACTGAGTAAGTTTTGCATATTTGGAAATCTGAAATAATATGGTTTGATATTTTTTCTTAAAGATTCATTAACAGGACTTTCAAGCAAAAAATGATATTTATCTTCTATGCAGTGATCACTGTACGAAATTGACATATTCTGTTCTTTCAATTCTTTTATATTTTCCTGTTTCTAAACTTCAGTTTTTGGAAGAAAGCCTTATTCTTGTAATATACTTCAATCTATAACTATTAGAATGAATAGGCTTTGTCAAGTATGCATGTATTTCGGAAATATTGTCGCACGCAGAGCTTATACAAAACAATCTTGAAAGTCGCATACAGTTTCAAGATTGTTCACGCAGTTTTAATATTCCACTGTTTAAAAGATATGGACCGGGCACGTTTTCACATGTTCTTGTTTTCCATAGTTTATGCCTATTCATTTTATTTTTTCTCATTTTTATTAACGCTATACAGGTACATGTAAATACATGTATGTATGGTAATCTCCTCTCCGCTAGCCAAGGGTTTCTTATACGCCACTCTCCTCATAAGTCCTTAGTACACGGTGTTAAAAAAAGTTGGGATTTTTTTCTCAAGTTGTGATTGGAGTCTATGGACACCGTTTGACCAATCAGCAATTGTTTATTGTATATGACGATATCTGTGCTCAGGATATATCTTGACTCTTTTATCTCGGGAATGAAAAATGCAAGTAAACAAAAATCCGTAAGATAACGTGCCATTCTATGAATAGATATGGTGTCATCCAAAATCTTCAAAATGTGGTTAAGAACCTATATTGAAGCTGTACAGATTCGTATTTTAAATCATAAAGAAACATAACTCAATTATTGCCTTCGATTTGGAGATCACATGACGAAAACAATCCCGTCTTTTGACTTCACAGTATGCCAAGAGTTCATGAGGAGCGTATCAGAAACCCTTGGCTTGCGAAGATGGGTAATCCCTGTGAATGAGAGACCGAGCGAGAGAGAAATACCATGGCTTTTTTCTACAATGTTGGTCAAAATGTCAGTATATCGAGCATCCTATTTTACATTACCGGCTTTATTTTGTAAAGCGCAAATGTATCGGTGTATACAGTTGCAAGATTTTATATATCGTGATTTTCAAGATAAATGGTTTTCCAAAGAGAAATAAGGGTCAGTGTTTTCTAAGGATCCATTTTCATGTGCAAGGTGACTGTAATTTTCATCTGGTTCCATTTCTTCCATAACTCGACTTGCATGGTCATAATCATCTAGATCAACTGTAGCCTTTCCTTTTTCGTTCAGATGATTATAGATGTCGTCTTTTGCCTCCAAGGAAACACTTTTCATGTTGGAATAGGTAGCATCTTTGATGGTTGATGGCAGGTGAGATGCTTTTTTCTTTAGAAAACAAAAGTGAATTTTGTCATAACTTGCAATGGCATTAATTCAATATCATTGTGAGATAAAATATGAAGATAAAGGGCAATGGACAAACTCAAAAGTTCATTAGAATAATACATGATACATGTACATGATTGAGAGCAGGGCAAACATGGACCCCTACAAATATCAGCGATAGGATCGGTTCCAAAGAGGAAAAAGCATCCCCTGTCTACCAGTCTCATCCTCTCTATGTGTCTCTTGTATTATCTTATGCAAATATATAAAATCTTATTTATTTTAAAAACATATTTCTAAAATAAACTCGAAAGAAAAATTATTAAACATGAGTAATCTGTAATTCGGTGTATGTGGTAAATACATGTGTGTCTATAAAGAAAGAAAATACTAGTATTTAATATTATTACATGTATAAAGCTAATAAATTATCTATAATGCAGAGCTATTTGTTGTTAATAGAGTATTAACATTCAATATTTGAAGGTGTTAGGTAATATGGTCAGCTCAGCGAGTCATTCAGTTGTATTTTGATACCCGCATGCTAACCACTTAATTAACATGAATCACGTCTATTTGACTACCCACCTTCATCCCATAATTCCTACCCCCTAGATCTGGTTATCAAGTTTTCATGTAAAATTATATATACTATTAGTTTTGACTCAATTTGATTTACTGTTTTAACCAGTTTGTTTTGAATCTTTTTTGCTAAGTTAACCCTTTTCTGAGGATTGTCTTTTTGATGTACTATCTTTTTGCAAACCCTTTCATATGATGTTTGCCTTTGTTAAATGTGCCATCTTTTTGCTTACTTTTTCATATGATGTTTTGATTGTCTTATTTTACAGTCAGAAACTTTTTTCTGGTCATTTTTGGGGGATCTGATATCATCATATTTTACGTAACTGAAAGCAAAGATTGTGAATCTGATCGCCTTCTTGTTTGTTAAATTGTTCACATTTATACCGTAATTTTAATAAAAGGACTTGATCTCTATAAAGATGTTTTATTTGATTTGTACAGAATTAGCAAAAACAAACTGCGATGATCTTACCTATAAGCATTTAGAAGACGTACATTGTTAATAAGTATACGAGAATGCAAAAATATTCAAACTGCGAGCCTTCAACGTCAAACGTTCCGTTGTAAAGAAAACAATTCTTTGAAGGACTCAGTTATATTTATAGTGTGTAGGGTCAGCCAGGTAAGATGTATCTTTTTTCTCAATAAATAGATTTATTGTTAAATTATTTAGTTCTAAAAAGCCGAACAGAAACCACAGTAAGCAAATCATAACGCTTTCGATATCAATTACTGTATACAGGGTTATTTTCGCCCTTTTACACTTGCAAACAATTCTGCCCCGTTTTAATTATAAATTATAAGAGTTCTATTCAAGAAATTATTATGTCTTATATGACTTTGCACTGTTTTAAATTCGCCAACCTGTGAGTTGGGTGAAAGGAGCGAAAATAAAACGGGGGCGAAAATTTACCTGCATATACCGGTAGTATACAAATTTAATACTAAATTACATGTACAAGTATACATGTAAATGTTCTGTTTTCAATTGCATGTCTTATTTGGTTAGATAAGGTTAGTTTTTTTTTCATTCTAGCAAACCTTAATTATATTATTCACTTCTCTTATATCGTCAAGAACAGTATTACTAAAATGATAAATACCGTATAGGGGGTCTGTCCTGATGATGTGATTTCAATATGTTTCTCGTAAGAGCGATTATCAACAGCATTTTTGAAATCTCTGAAAGACATCAAATGACATAGGCTATAAGTGCACATATACCTTCCTTTTTACTGCCACTGAATGTTGTACCCAGCAATGCATTCATCGATAGATTGAATAACTATGTATTTAAAAAAAATTCAAGTCTTACTTGTGCTCTGGTGTGTTTTTTCTCTGTTTACAGATAAGAATAATACCAAGACTGACTACGAAACCAAAGATAAAACATCCAATTCCCACTCCGACTATCACTCCAGTGTTTGTTTCTTTCACCAATTTGATTTTTTCTGCAGCTATTAAATCAAATAATGGGATATGCAACGAGAAAAATGATAAATATTAAAATTTTAAATTAATCAAATATAAAAATTTAAAAATATCTACCTGCCATACATTCTCCATGCAACCGAACAAATCCATCCCTACATTCGCACGATCCAACTTTCCCATACTTAATGCATAATGTATTGGCTCTCCCGCAATCTGTGTCTCTTGTACACAGAAGTCCAAAGTAGTCTGCATGGAAATTATATTTTTTTTTAAAAATTTTTGTTTGTGTTCTATAAAATGAAAGAAAATTAAGACGTTAAAAGTCTTTGAAATTAACTATATGGGAAACTTATAATTTATTAAAACATCATGTTCCGAACAAAAAAAACCATTCCCACTCGATATCCAAAATGGGAGAGACACGATTTCATTATCTGCTCATATTGCACATTTCATAAATACAGTCAACCAGCACGGAAAGTCCTAAAATAAATATATAAATGGAAGAAACTTTCGTGTTCTACCTCCAAACTTATCCGTACTGCAGCTCACGTTTATATCAATCGCTGTATATTCATTCTGACATCTGTTGTTGACATTTAGTACTCTCCTTACGGTATTGTTAACAAGGAATCTTCCCCTTCTCAGTTTATATATGTTATTGGGAACTGTATTAACCGACGATAAACACTGCTCCTCACAAGGAAACCCATTTGGCGGTTCTAAAATTAACAGGACTAAGAACATAAGTACTTTTTAAAGATATTTCTTATAGTATTACACCAATAACTTACCTCTGAATATACTAGTAATTCTTATGGATTGAATTGCTGAATTATCAACATGACAAATATTCTTGGACATAAAAATTGTACTTTAAGTGTGCAAAAGAAATATGATTAAGAAATAATTGGCAATTAATGAAAGCTATTTTATAGTTTCAAATCTTGATTAGTGCCTCAAATTAATAGTTTTATATTTAATTTTGTGTGGTTTTTTATTATTAAAATAAATTCATGTAAAGCCTCATTGGAAGGATTTTTCGTTTTCGATCAATAAAGAATATAAATCTACATCTGAGTTTACATAATTCAGATATACTTTTTTTAACCTTGAAACCAAATTCTTCGCATCTAAACAATTGTTCCTGTTTGGAGAATGTTCTTGAGTAGTTACTGCTACATTATTTACCTGCAAACCAAGACTTCACATCATCCTCTGTAAAATTACAAGCAAGACTGCTGAACCCAAACTTCAAAGCTGTATCAATACAAACACTTCTGTAAACAGAAAATACTAAACGTAAACAGGGAGTAATATAGATGTATAGTTAACCATTAATCTCAACAGAAAAGATTTTTGTATTCTATTATAATGAAGGGAAGAATTAGTTTGTATTGGGAAAGTTAAACACAGACACTAAGCTTAAAACTGCTTAAAGGATAAATAAAAACAACTTCCTTTGTTAATATAGATTGTTAGAAAAGTAAATTGTATTCTAGCATTCTTTTTAAAATATTGAAAATCATCTCTCACCCATTAAGGCAGTAGATATTTAACACCTTCGTCCAAAAGATGAACAATAATCCTAAAATAAAATAAATATATAAAAGTTAATATATTGATCACTGGGATGCAAATAAAATTTTAAAAATGTATAGAAAAAAAACAAACAATTTCGACAGATACAAAATAAGAAAAAAAATGTTTACATGATCAGTAGCTAAGTAATTAATATTTTTGGATATCAAGGTTTAAATTTCATTGCATATCATTTGGGATTTCTTTTCTTTAATAGACTGCAATTTCCCCGAATGAAATGAAGCATTATAGAAGCTTTAAAATATGTACAGCTGTACTTCCCTTAACATGATATCCCAGAGGTATGCAATAAGGGTATAACCCTGAAGAAAATTGTTTGAAATCCTCTCTTGAATGGAGAGCTCTATGACTCGAGAGAAAGGACATTATTAAAAATTGTAACAGGGGCGTAGCAACCGGAGGGCCAGGGGGGGGGCCTGGCCCCCCACTTTTTTCCCCAACCTTACTTATACGACAGAAAATGTTAATTGAAAGCCTGGTTGGCCCCCGCACTTTTAGTGATGTACCGAAAATGTAGTATTAGAATTGGTACTTAAAGTAGTTGACACTGAAAAAAAGTTTACCTACACCCCCCCACCCCCCACCCATCCCCACGAAATAGGATTTTCGACTTTGGCCAATTTAAATTTTTCCTTTCTTTTTTTTTTTTTTTTCTTTTTTTTTTTTTTGCTTGTCAACTTTTTCTGGTAAGAAAAAAAAAAATTTCTCTGGCTGCCCCCCCCCCCACTTTCAAAAACGCCACTGTGTAAGTTAAATTAAAATCCCATGGATGATAAATAGAAGTTAAGCAATAAAATGTTAAGAAATTATAATAAAACTTATTTAAAGTTTCAATGCAATTTGGGACAAGAACAAACACCCGATCTCTAAAATATTTGAGGTGGGATCTGGAAAGACTGAGTGAAAAGCAGAATCCTGATACACAGCTAATTGTGCCACATACGTGTTACATATGGTTGCACATAACACATGTATCACGTATGTGAAATGTACGTATCACATACGTGTATTACAAACATACGTTTCACGTATGTGGTACAACGTACGTATAACATATGTGTGACTACATACGTTTCACATAACGTACGTTAAACGTATGTTTGGAATACACGTATGTGTTACGTACGTGAAACGTACGTGTAACATATGTTATGTGCAACCATACGTTTAACGTACGTTAATAAACGTACGGTTTACATGTATATTGTCAACCACATGTTACACGTACGTTAATTAACATATGGTTTACATGTGTATAGTCAACCACATGTTACACACGTACGTTAATGAACACATAGTTTACATGTGTAAAGTCAACCACATGTTACACGTATGTTAATGAACTCATGGTTTACATGTGTTTTATAAAGCACAAATGTCATGTATATATATAGTTTATGTGCATTATAAACCACACATTAAATATACTAATGTACATAAATAAATTATGGTTAACTTGTATTCTAAAGCTCTCATTACATATGTTGATGAATATAGTATGTGTATTATCAGGCACATGTTACATATACATTTAAAAAGGTGTTTTACATGTGTGTGAAAACCTATGTTTGAGAATGAGAAGGCTGTATATTTTGATTCATACTATTACATCAGGGGTGTGCAATTAGAAAAATCAATTACTAGCCCACGGGCTAGTGGAAGCTATAAAGTTACTAGCCCCAAGTGAAAAGTTATTAGCCCAAATATAGGGGCAAAAATTAAAGTAAAAAACTATATGTTGAAAATATATGTTGAAAAGAAATTAATATTTGAAAAAGTCAGGGTACTGAAGTCATTCTTTTTAAAATTAAAGTTTAATTCTCACTATGAAATTAAATCATATATAGATTATAATGAAAGAAGATTAAAATGAATTTAAATAAATTATCTTCCCTTTTTTCTGAACATTGCACTAGCTCATTTAGAATGAAATTTAATTCATTTTGTTTTCATCTTAAATCATTAAATACACTATAAATATATTTTATGTGAGTCATAAAACACTTATCTTTCAGTTGATTGAGTGATCGTAAATAATCCAATGAGATATCTGCAGTATTTACCATAAACGAAAGAATAGAGGAAATTCGGATTAGGAAAAAAACAATCGTTTTTTGGAAGTAAATAAGTCAAGTAGTGCTGCAAAACAGATAAGATTATGGAGATTTATTCAGAGTAGGAGCATGTTGTCAGAAAAATTTTCACTGGTTGGGAATTTGATAGCAAAAACGAGTGAAAATTCAGGTTGTGTTTTTCATGTATTGCGTGTGTAGTTATAATTTTTAATAGCCCGACGGGCTACCTCCATGCAGAAAATCACTAGCCCAACCCCAAAAAGTGGTAGCCCCGGGCGTCGGGTGATGCTAATTGCACACCCCTGTACATACATGTATGATAAATGTAGGTTGACTATAAATCTAATCCTCTTTATTTTATTTCAAATTTAATTTATTAATCAAATTATCATTTAGTTTTTGCTATAAAGAGAAAAAAAACAATGCGTTAAACATTTATTGTTGCTAGGGACTACATAATTTCACTTAAAATACAGGAACTTTTTGTATAAAAGTATGGCTGACTTCCACAACTAACTATTTTTCCTTAATAGTTTAAGTGATTTTGGAGAACTAATCAAGATATTATTTAACATAACAATCAATAGGCACTTAGGGCTTAACCTGTTAACTGGTTATTCAGGAAGAAGAGCAATCATAGTGATATGACCATCTATAAAATCCTTCTTATAACATGTATAACGGGTCCTTAGATCAGAAGTTGCATGTATTTTAATAATTATAATATCTTAAAATCTAAAATATCTTTTTTTGACATAAACATTATTATGATATTTGGTTAAACCCCATTCGATTGCCGGATTGGGTGAAACCCAATCACAACTGAAGCATACGTGTGTGTGCGTTGTTGGCTTGTCGTGTGCGTATTTAATGTTTCAATTTATTTCACATTGTTTACCTTACGTCCACTTTCATGTCTGGCAGAATGTTATCAGTTCGCATTGGTTTAAAATTTACTCTAAAAACAGTTAACAAAGTTTACATAAAAAGTTCTCCAATCTCGTCTCGTCGCCTAAGTCAAGCTAGCGGCCAATAAGCTAGCGGCCAATAACAAAATATTCATAAATTT